ATGCTCATCTTTAGGTAAAATATTTTTATTGCAGAAATTATTATTGAAAACTAAGACATTCTTACTAAATAAGTCTTATTCTACTGGGAAAATGCATAAAAGATATTCAGAAAACTGCTTTCGCTTTCTATCTTACAATTTTACTGATCAAGTTGATAAGTCCTTTTTTTAAATGCAAACTGTCAGTTGTTTTGTTTGTCTGTTTTTGTTTTTGTTTGTTATTTTTTGTTTTTGTTTATGTTACTACGTATTTATTATATGTAGAGTTTTAATCGTAATATATCTTCTCTAAGTGTGCAAAAACGATGTTTATTTTACATTTTAACAGTGGCTGTATAGAAATTAACAGTATGTTCATTTACATTTACCAAATTTGAACATGATATATCTTTGAGGCATTCAATTTATAAAAAACCTTTCAAGTTGGTTTATATTGTCGATATTAGGTATGTGTACGTTTTATTTTCAGAAAGATGCAATATGATCGATAAAGTCATTTGTTTTTATCTTTGACGTTTAGTTTGTTATGACTAGATAATGTGATAACTAATATATGTTCTTGTTTTATATAGAGCCCTTCGAGAACGAAACAGCATTGACTTTAAAGAATATTCAATCGTTTGAAACAGTTTTCCTATTATTTCCACGACCACCAGAAGACAACAAAACTGACAAGTTCTTTCAACACGTCAGAGAGCGGAACACCAAGCCTCCAATTTCCTCAAATGTTCGACATATTTCTAATAGAAAGCCTGTAAGTTCATTTGCATTAATACGTTTTGTTTAATATCTTAAACTAATTCTATGCTTTACTTTTAAATTATTGATTGTTTAAAAATGATAAAGATCTTCATGAAAATGAAAGTAATCACTATCACCATCATCACAATCGCCTACTTTCCTCGCAATCATCATTGTCACTATCACCACCTCCAAAAAATACCATCATCTTGATCGTCATTTCTTATTTTTACAATCTCAATTAACAGTGTTTATTAACATCTTCTTGGTGTTAATAGTAATCAATTACAAAAACGGTGTTATTTAACCTTTCTAGTTAATTAATGAAACATATAACTTTTATGTTTTTGCATTTCCCGAGGAAAATCAAGGTTTTTTGTCGTATTCACATCAGCCTAGCTGTAATAAATTAGAAATGAATACAAAATACGATTTATACCAAAATGCTGCTTTTATAGGACAAATTCGTTTAATCCAGTTCACGAAAGAAAAATATTATTAATTAATGTCTTATTTGAAAATGTTCTAAGAGCAAAAATGCCAGTAGTACTTTCAAGGAACATGACATTATCATGTTTGTTTTATGACAATACATCAAACTGTTTTGCAAAACTGGCTGGAGCTTGTTTCAACAAATCAGTAAAATAAATACATTTTTTTTACTTCAGTATACATTTATTGGTCTAATTGGAATTTAAATCAAGAAATGTTCTCAATAAAAATTGAATAATTTTGATGGAGAAAGAAATCAGTGTATGTTAATGGCATTATTGTTTTTTTTTTTTTTTTTGGGGGGGGGGGGGCTTTTTATTTTTACATATGAAATATATTCATGCAGGTTTTGGTGCCAGTTTATGTGGCTTACCTTTTATGACGCGGTTTTTACGTATGCACGTACTCTACAAGAAGTTCTGAATGAAGGCGGAAAGCCAAATAACGGAACAGCTATTATAGACAAAATACGCGATCGATCATTCAAAAGTAAGAACATTTAACATTTAAAAATTCCATATGAATATTTGTTAGCATAGCTTTATCATTTATTATAAAACTGCACGTTTGTAACGTTGCTTTTCATTGGATAATCGTGACGTTTATATAGATTTATATAAACGACTGATGTCGATATCTTACTTTTTCTCCACAAAATGATCCTTGCTGTATTATAAATTCATTGTAAAGATTGTTGACAGGTTATACGTGTGAAATATAACCTCGCCTAGCAAACCGGGTTATATTAACGAACAACCGTTTATATAAGGTCATATAACTTGCCAAAAGTCTTTATAACTAATAAAATACATGTGTTTGCCTTCAACCCGTTTAGTAAATTTAGTATGAAATAAATTTAGTCATATAAACTATTTTGTCAAGACGTTATTTGCGGTTTTTTTTTATATATTTATTTTGCATTAATGTATCTTTCTAATATTTGATTTTATCTTTTTATCTAACTTGGTACTATTAGAGGTGTGTACTTAAATATATTACCCTATTAATAAATATATAAAATATATTAAATTTTAAAATTTTTAACTGTTATAATTATAATATGTGAAAAGTCAATACGTCTATAACTTACCTAGGTTATTGTCAGGAAACTTCGTACTATCATACCGTACACATATATAATATATTTTATGTTTACAGAATAATTATATTGCAAAATAGACGATGTGTTTATTTCTTCACTTGTTTCGGAAACTTTAAAGGTAAGTCTCTTTTATAAAAAACGTCTACGTATTTAGAGTTTACAATCACATTAGACTAGTTCGTTATTGTTGAGACATTATTATATAATTGTTTATGCAAAATTACAGTGTTATCTTAATTAAAATGGGTTTCCATTTTGTTTTAAATTGAAGCCAGTCTGCATAATTTTTAGATATTTTATTATTTATAAATTTACTTCTTTTTTTAAACTAAAATTGTTCATTTATTTGTCCTTCTTTACAATAAGTTCCCGCATTGAAATAATAAAGCATCAAGAAAACTGTATGATTCTTCAAAAATTAATTCATTTAAATGTATGTACAAACATATTTTACCAGAAAAATGCGAGATTGAAATATATTTCTTTCTTGTATTCAGTGCACACTTTCGTCTTTTACATCGTATGATATATTTCTTAGAAAAAAGTATACTATTTTTCTAGTACTTTAAACGAAACGTTATGTAACACGATATTTTGCCGCACCTTAGATAGAGTAATTTGATAATAGCATAAGTGAGCGGTGTAATTAGGTCTCAGCTAAATACCATTGCAATGGGTAATTAAATTTCTAAGAGTCTGTTTTATGTTGGAAGGACTTTTTTGTCACAAAATGAATTACTGTTATTATCTGAAAGAATCGGTAATTCAAGTCACAATTCAATGCAATTAATTTAATTGTAAGTAAGGTTACATAAACTGGCAAACAAGCAATGTTTTTACAAAGTGAAAAGAAGGAGATAAAAGAATATCTGTATCAGTAACTCAGAGTACATTCGACTGATTATTACGTATGTAATGAAGGTATTAGGCGCATAATTAATTTTCTGGACTGAGATCTAGATCATTTCTCATAAAAATTATTATTATTTAAAAGATACCATTAAACATGTAAAATTGATATTAATAATTAGTGTTTGCACTACAGGCGATGAGTTTTATTCATGACAGCGAAATTGGTAGCCATGGCAACCTCAAGTCAAGTAACTGTGTGGTGTTAATGGTCTGGGACTTTGGACTTTATAAACTGGACAATGAGCGATCGGACAGCATCACAGATCGGAATAAATACTATGATGGAAAGATACTGCTGTATAATATAAACTAAAAATTTCAAATTGAATTCAATCTTAACATTAAGGTACTTATTTGTCAGTAGACCATATGTTGTCTCGATGTTACTAAAAATGTCTTCGTTGGGCCCTTCTTTATTGGTGCAACAAAACGTAAAACCGGACAAAAAAAAAAAAACAAGATAAAAACAAATCACAAATTTAAGCTAATAATTATACTGTTTTCTATTCTATTTGTGACTTTCTTTATCTTATTCAAGAGAACGCTGTATTGGTTGCAAATAAAATCATTCTCATCTTAGTGAAGATATTTTAAGTTAATAAAGAAACTGCATGCAAGTTCGATATGACTACATATATGATCCGTGTACTATAATGCTAGATGACTAAAAGTGCTGTATACTTTTTCTGATTTGTCCACGAAATTGTTATGATACTAGTACTGGTTAGTTCCAGAAAGCGAACACGAATGTGATCAAATGAGGGTGGGGGGGGGGAAGGCACTGTCATCACAATGTCGTTAAAATAGACATGTTTAAAGTATTATCAAAAGAGTAGCTCTTGCGTGCTATCTAGCTGTTGCAGAATGAAGTTTAGTTGGTTGCTCTGTTCTAAGATTAGGCAAAAAGCATGAAACAGCAAAACCATAGGAGTTGAAGAACATTTATTTGACCAATGCATTCTAATTTCCTTAGATGGTAAATATTTGTTTTGATTTGTATGTTATAGAGATTATATATATATAAAGCAAGGTGATAAGGACTTACAGTCGGATCTGTCCAGGGTTAAATGTGAGCCGTTTGTGAAGAATTGTATTGAGGGATGTTGGCGAGAGGAGCCCGAGCACCGACCGGATTTTAAAACATCCGCTTCAGATTGAAACATATGCTTCAGGGAATGTAAGTACGAAAATGTGTACAGGACAAAACTTTTGACGTGACTGTATTTGATTGAAGAAGTTAATTATATATGCTTATTGTTAAATCAGACATACCAGTTAGTAGAAATAATCGAAAAGGAAAAAGTCGAGCGAATATTCGGTGTGAAGTATATTGAAAACTCACTGATGGTTTGTGACTTTTTTTAATTCACACTATATAATTATCAGACAGCGAAAACTTACAGTTTCGGTATATGCTTAAATATTGACCACCGAGATAAAAAGGCGCTGTCAATTTATTACCGTTAATAATATTAAGTCAGTTTTTATAATAATTTCTATACCCTTATCATTATCAGTATCATCATTCATTGCTATACATATAATCATCGTTGTCATAACCATAATCGTTATCGTCATTAGTATTATTGCTTATATCAATATAATCATCATCATCATCATAATCATCATGAAAATCCTCCTCCTCATCATCATTATTATTATTATCATTATCATCAATTTAGTATTATCATCGACTTTATTATTATCATCATCAGTAAAAATTTACAGTAAATCAATCAGATCTGCTAACATGCTGGACATGATGGAGAAGTATGCAAACAATCTCGAGAATTTGGTGCCTGAGAGGACAGAATAATTATATGAAGAGAAAAAAAATGACAGAAAATCTCTTACTTCGAATGCTACCGGTGTAAGTTTTGTAATGGATAAAAAATCTGTAATTTGTATTATGGCACTGTTAATGATTTAACCACGTTAAAGGGTAAAAGCACGCGAACAAAAAACAAAAACAACAAACCGAAGTACAAAAATAAACAAATGTTGATTAACTTGCCAAATACTTTTGGCAGTTTGAAGAAGAACACAGTCAGTTTGAAAACTTCCTTGTTATTCGATCAATCTGAATTCAAGAAAGTGGCGTGACAAGTGTATCTATATCATAAATCGTTGGAAACAAATGGTGTTCCTTCCTGAAGATCAAAGTGAAATATACTATTTAATGCGTTTAAACGTTTCTTGGGATTTTTTTATTTAGACATGTGTGGTTATAATGTAACATTGTGGTTGTAAATACAAATGTATATTATGAAATATATAAATATATTCTATTAATTGTATAAAGTATAATTCATAATTTATTAAGGATCTTGTTTCATAAAATAAATTTTAATTTTTTTTAAGGTGAATAATAAATTTATTGGAAGGGTTTTTGAGATTGTCCAGTACAAATGGCATTTTCTAAATTTGTGCAAACAAACCTTTCTCAAAGTTTATTGCAGTTATCATACGAGGGTTGTTCAAAAAGTAATAGGACTGCAGCTCTACTGTTCACATTTTTAAATTTACGTACAAAATTTTACATGAGACAAATATCGGAACATGTTCTCTATATACAGTGAAAAAATCAAAACAAAATGTAAACAAATGAAATTTCTGTGGAATTTTCAAATGACAAGGGGTTCGAAACGCGGCGCACGCTAACAATACAATAATTGACGTTCATGACGTCGTAAAATAAATCGAAATTGTAATAAGCGTCATTCTTTCTGAAAGTAGTCTCCCTAGTCTCTAGGTGTATGAGTCATGTAACTTTTACTTTGCCTCATATGTGGAGATGAAGCAAGAAAAAAAGCGATCACATTCTCGTTCCACTGTTTCAAAAAAACAAAATAAAATAAATGCCCGATAGCCGGCCATTCTCCGGGTTTTCTCGTGTTTTTTTGAGTAACCTTGGAACTCAATAGGACTGAAAATGTTAAAGCAAAAGCAATTTATTTTATTAATTTACTCATGTCATCGCATGCTTTTAAAACAATATGATTATATACAGAACAATAAAGATATTTCTCAATTGAAAAGTATCCTTTTCTACTTAGCACAGTCTATCGTTTATTAAAACAAGTTTTCGGAAACACTACTAATTATTACCGTTAACTATTACATTAATTCATTGATTACGCGTATATCTAGTTAAATACATTATAACAAATGTCTTATTTACAATCCTTTGGTTAAAACTGAATAAGTAGACCCGTAGCAGATACAAACAACGATAAACAGTTCGCGTACCGTTTACCGTGGATTCTTTTGTAGCCCTTTTGCAATTGACGTCACTAACGTCCCGTCAATTTTCAACTTTCATCCTCGCCCTTTCTCGTTAGTGATCTTGTATTTGCAGTTTTTGAATTGCTTGTGCCAGCTGAAAACAAGTGTCCTGATGGCAGGATAATTGTCCTTTGTTTATTCAATCATTTTATGTGTATCTGAATGATTATAGTCAATCTGTTGGCAAAATTTAACGATGGCACACATTTTCTGTTTGTTAACAAATGTCATATTTCTACATCTAACGCTATGACCGCCGCTGTTCAAAACTTTATAAATAGGCCATTCCATGTCCGAATGACGTCAAATTTGGACATAATGTCACATTAATATATTTCAACGTATTGATGGAATACAAGGGAAAACAAATTGTTATTTATGAATAAATTAGAAGTAGATCTTAGCTCTAATAACTATATTTATGTGCTGCGCCGGGTGCGTGTTACCATGGTTATTCAATAGCTAAGGAAAAGCGCGTTTAGCACAATAGATTAAAAAACTTATGTGTGATTTCTAGAAAACATTTTACGATTGCTGTACATATGAAAATATTCTAAATTGAATGAAATTTGAATACGCAAGACTCCCAGTCCTATTACTTTTTGAACAACCCTCGTATATGTTTTAAAAATAACTTGTATTTCCTCAAGAAACTTTTCAGGCAAATTTAAAGGGCAAGTAGTCATAATTTTTCAATATCCCTTACAACTTTTATAGTTTTAAGTAGACTCGTCCATCTTTCAATTCTGACAAAAACTTTCATCATCTTACTAGGTGAACTACAAAATTATCTCTTGACTGAATGGCAAACAGAATATATGTTGTCTGGGATGGTAACATTTGTAAATTCAATGTCGGCTGCAGTTTAATAGTTATATATATGTATTCTTTATTGTTAAACAGGTATGTTGCAGACAGATTAAAGAGAGGGGAGCCAGTTGTTCCGGAATTGTATGACTGTGAGTCTATCTATTTTTCTGATATTGTAGGCTTCACTGCCTTATCTGCTGTAAGCACGCCAATTGAGGTACTGCTAATGTACCTTATGATGCTTCATTTGTATTATTGATTTAACTGTTTTTTTAATGTTATGTTAATGCTATGTTTAATGTTTAAACTTCTTACTATTTACCAGATTGTTCGTTACCTATTGCTGTTAATCTGTTGTCCGTTATTATTGTCCGTAAACATATATTGTTCAGTAGTTTATTGCTCCCTATTACTCTACTGTGGCTGATTGCCAAGTTACAAAATGCCTATTACTGTTTTACCCGTAACCCCATTGTTCATTACCATATTGTCCATTACCATATTTCAAGTTTACCTATTGTCTATTACTTGTTGTCAGTTACCTTATTTCCCATTACCCTATTGCCTATTTTCCTGTTCGTTTAAACATTGTCATTTTCATATAGTAAACGTTATATTTAGCAGTACCTAGATAATATTCAATTTAAAGATAATATTTTTATCAATTATATACCCTTAAAAATATATAGAGAGAGGCTACAAGTGACAAATATTGCTCTAAGTCCGTCATCTTTATAAACTAAAGGTTGTGTATATGCTGAACGAACTTTACACATGTTTTGACGCCATCGTTGAAAACTATGACGTGAACAAAATAGAAACTATTGGGGACGCATACTTTGTTGTAAGTGGACTACCATTACGTAATAGAAATTTTCACGCCGGTGAGATCGCTTCGATGTCATTACACATGCTTCAAGAAATCATGAACTTTAAAATCAGCCATCGTCCATCAGATACTCTTAAACTCCGTATAGGAATTCATTCAGGTATCGATCTTAGCTTTTCTCAGAAACATATTTCTCGTTTCGGATAATTCGTGTCTTATTTGATGATCTTTTTTTATTTTCGGATGAAAAGTATTGTACATCTTTTTCAAAGAGCGGTACTGTGGCCGAGCGATTTACACGTCGGACTAGTAATCACGTCGGACTAGTAATCGAAGGATTGCTGGCCGCGAGGATTCCGACCCAGTCAGGGGCAAGCCGTTGTTTCCTTGAGCAAAAATTTTTACAATCTAGTCTTAGTACTAATTTATTCCAGGCACGAATATGATAGTGTTACTTCTAATACACTCGAATTTGTTTAAACTAACAGAAACCGATTAAGGAAGCATATATAGGCGTATGTTATATTGATAGGAGATAGGAGAAACATAGATGTATCAAATGAGCAAATATTCTTAATTATCTTTCTCTGTACGGAAAATGTTTTATTATCTCTCAATTGCGGAGCACATAATATATTTGATGATTTGTAGAGTATTTGTCAATTATTAGGTCTAATAGAAATCTTTTGTTCCAAGACAAAATGACGTATCAAATTTATGATGAAGATAGCTCTGAAAATATGCCTTGGCTTGATTTAAATTGAAAATCATTCTTTTAATCTCATAGGCCAATGTGTAGCAGGCGTTGTCGGCTTGAAAATGCCGAGGTATACAATATTTGGTGACACTGTTAACACTGCATCACGAATGTTATCTATTGGTGTTCGTAAGTAAAGTATAACCTATGATAGTAATTTTAAAGCAAATCTATTCATTCGTGTTCAAGCGCATATCGAGTAAACCTTATATTATGATGAATGATCTCTTTAATCATTTAAAAGTTTAATGTAAGAAAAGAAAGAATATATTGTATATCCTGTAAGAAATCGTTTTATTTAAAAAAAAAATATAAAGAAATCAAATGACTGGCATATCTATAAAATGTCATCCATTTACTCCCGCTTCTTGTATAGTTTATCTAATTGTTTTTGTTTGTTTCTTTAGGACATATTCCTTTGTCATAAAGACTACATTTAAATAAAAAAGAATAAAAACACTTAGTCTAGTCAATGTATAGATGATGCAAGCAAAAAGCACGAATATAGTTATTTTTATTTGCATTGAAGATTCACTGTAGTTCTACAATTACCCAGATACTTAGAGAACTCGATGGTAATCAGCTTACTGAACGAAGATATATAACTGCAAGGGTTAACATTATTTAAGAACTATCATACATTGTATCTATTTAATAGTAATAAATTCAAAAATTCAAAAATTAATTCATTGGTTTATTGGACATCATTGTTTCTCTGATATGATTTGTTTATTTGATGATCATTTGTTTGTTGACAACAATTTAATTTTCGTTTGATTTTAAATTCGACATTTCATAGGCATAGAAATTGAGAACATTTTGATTTATGTACTGTTATTCAGCGACATGCTAATATAGTTTATATATGTGATATAAATTTACGTACAAATTTAGACCTTAATTGGGTTAGCTTTAGTAATAAAAGTAAATATATCAACTAAATTTTCAATCTTAGTTTTTCTTTTTAATGGTCATGCTGACCTTCTTCTTAGAAGTAGGAAACGAATCACATAGGCAACATCGAATATCCCACTCCACGATTTCCCGCTCAAATTCTACAAGCTTCGACAGTAGAGACATATTTTGTCAGCCGATGATTCACCCAAAATGCTGGCAAAACGGGTCAATTCCTTCTCCAACAAAAGACGTAGATAAAGCGCAATTCAAAAACTGTGATATTGTAAGACATGTAAATGGAAACATGAAAAAAGCAAAGCTGTGATTTTTATACAAACTTTGTTTATACATTTAACGCATACATTGTACTTTGATGATGTTTGAAAGTTGATATGATACCATACCATTTGAAAATAATAAAAAAATGTTACCACACTAAATATCTTAAATAATTACTTGTTTATGATTCAATTTTGACAAGAACATTCATCATCTTCAGGGGAAATTTTCAAAATGTGTACTCACTGTATAGTGCAGACAATGATCAGACGTCAGGGACGAGTCGGTTGATCTTGGTCAGCACTGGCCTCGTGGGTAAACTATTGTGTCGGCAGCAGGCAAAGGGTAACATTGATAATTTCAAATAATTATAACTATTGCGGATGATTTTTTCTTCTTTTTTATTTCATAAAACAACAATTTGTGTTCCATTCAATCGCTTATTCTGTTTTTACCACAATTAAATATTTAACTTATTGAACATTGAAATAGGCACCGTGATTAAATGTCGGAATCTTTCAAAAATAATATATTTATTACTTTTTTTCTTGACCGGGAACTCCAATGTTCTATATAAAGTTTTATGATCATATAAAAAAACAGAAGAAATACATGAGAACTAGTTTAAATAAAAATTTACTTTTAATTCACAAACATTTTCACAATTTGAAGTAACACAATTATTCCACATTTTTACTTCTTTTTGTAATAGCAGGTTATTTTAGTGTATGTAGTAATTTATTTATTTTACTTGTTAGTCTTACCATTACTGAAAAGCAGAATATTTTAATTGAATACGATAATAAGGTTCCGCTCATTTGTTCGGACCCAGTCATCACATGTGGTTTCCACAATAGGCATCAATATTGCTTTGATTCATGAAGCCGTTTCAGCAGTTTAGATAGTTTCCTTGATGCCGAAAGGAAATGTCAACTTAAGACGTCCATCTATGCCAGAATGTATTATATAATACAACAAAGTTTAAGATTTATTTTATAATTTGTTAAAAGGTTTTATTTAAGTGTTCACCACCTTTGATTTACTGAGTTTCAGCATTTTGTGAACAGACACATTCCTTTGGACATTCAATTTGTTAAATAGAAATTCATGATATTAATGTATTTAGAGTGCATTTCATTTGCATATTGTGTTTACATTATGTATAACAATCAATGTCTACATATTGTTATATGGTCGGTTGTATTCATGTAAGTCTTTATAATTCTGCTGCTTACAGATGAATGCATTCATGATGTATTTTTTTCATTTCTGAACAGGTGTAAATTTATTTTGTAAAAATATACTTCATACTTTTTAAAAGCTGTCAAAATTGTTTTAATACTCTTTTGCTCGTACCTTAATTCATTTTAACAGTGAGTGTTCTTCCTAAGTGTGCATGGATAAACGGTCTCATATGTGAGTCAATTTTTGTAGGATCATCTTGAAACTTTAAATAAATACAGTAATGTTATGATATTTCAAGTTTTAAATTTAAAGAGAATCACAAATTTGATAAACATGCCCAATAAATGTGATATTGCGTTATAAGCCAAAGTCGCAAAATAAATGTTTCATTGAAAATTGTTCTCATATCGTACGCCCACCAACTCTGAATGTTATTTCAACCTGGCAGCGTTGTCGCTTGGATATGACGCAATATTTATCCATAGGTGACAGTCTGCTACATTGTACCAAAACTTCTTATGAGACGATTTTTTCATCCCGTATAGCTTCTATCATATTTCAATATAGCTTTTATTGTATTTAAGTTTAGGAATTTTGGTGATATTCCATTACGTTCTTGCTGTTTATAAATGATAATATAGATTGTTGGCGCTCTGGACGTGTGATTGTTAGACATCCTGATGAAACTGCAATCATATGCTGTTCTTTAGACATTGATAAAACTGTAGTTTGAAGGTCATCGTATTGGCTAGAATACCATTCAAGAACACATTGTTAGTGACAACATTCTTCCTGATCTCCTCTTTGGAGTGTACCAAACCATCGCTCAGTAACAAGCCAATATTTCTTAAGACTAAATTTTACTCCAAAATTAAATGTACTACGATAAATCAAACTGCCATGTTGTTATTAAAGTCAAGGTAGATGTAGGTACATTTAGAATAGAGATTTAAACATTAACTTTTTACACACCACCCCTTTTATTAAGCAGGTTCGTTAATGGAATATCTACTTTCATGCCTCTCCATTATATTCATTGAAAATTCCAGCAGGATATGGTCAGTATTGACTCGGATTATAATATATTTAAAAATTCTCGCTTATCAGATTTGTCAAGTGTATTATTAGAAAATATCATAAAGAGTAAATGACGTCTAAAGCTGAACTAAAAGTGATACTCTGTTATTTTCATAGAACTTTCATTTTCTGCAAACAGATTTATTAACAACAGCCTTTGTAATCAATACAAACTTTTTGTAAGAGATCCTGAAAAAATGTTTGATATGTGAAACCTTAAAATCAACACCAATGTTTTTTTTTTTAAAAATGCAATCAATTTTGCTTTTCTGTGAAAATTCGGATCGATTTATTTTTTTCCTTTTTCCAGAAATTTTATTCTAAAATGTTTTTTAATATCATGTGACATCATCACAACATAACTGAATATTATTTGTACATTTCATTATGCTTGGTGATAATAGGCTTGTCATTGAACTGAAGTAGTTTTGGCTTGTGTGCGTCATTCATAAATATCAATCCGGATTCTTTTTTTGCTTTTTGCAAGAAGATTATAATGTTCATTTAACAAACAAAACAATGTGTATCAAACTATCACCTATAATTCTCAGCATGTGTAAATATGGTTAGCACATGCTTTCAATAAGTGCAAAACAAAACAGACTTTCCGTAGCTGCAAAGAAATGAAACTTGTTTAAAGGACAAATTCTTTTCTGAATACTTAGAAATTACATTGCACTATTTGGTATTTAGGACAAATATACGCTAAAATTATTTACTGCTGTAGTCTGACATTGTTATTCAGTTGGCTTTTTATACATTGTCATTTTTATGTTTAAGGGACTGTAAAATAGTTTCATGCCATTAGTTTCAGTCATTTGTTTTATGACTTTGGGCTTTTTATTGCCCTGCCGGGATAACCGGACAACATGTGGCATTTAATTGAGAAATAAATCTCGAATTATATCATCTACATCACACATGTGTTTATTGTCATTTCAAATAATGTAATTCCTTTGGGAAACCTAATTGAAAGTTCTGTACGTTACATAGTATAGTATAGAACATATGTCTTAACATGGCGGGATTCACAAATGCGCGAGTCATTTGTGCAGAACGGTCACGTGGTATTAGGCTGTATTTGGCGGTAAAATAGAGCGGGTTTTCATTCTAGGCTTGACTTCTGTCCTTTCAAGGCGTAAATTTTATTATGCTTTATTTTGAAAATGTCTGACGACGACAGGATGGATGGAATGGAGGGGATTATTGAAGACAAGGTGCAGTCAGCATTGAAAGAGAATAATGAGCAGCTGTTGAGAAATATTGAGGGCATGATAAATAAGATAAGTGTTCCAATTCCTTCTTGTTCTGATATTCAAGAAAAACCAAAACTTAAAAGGAAGAGTAATGACGAGCAATACAGACATAATGCTAAAGATATGGCTAAATTAGAAGATGTTAGCAAATCTTTGTCTTCACAAGATATCGATAGAGCACGAGTTTCAGTTATAGAAGGTAATATTTTTTCATTTCGTTCGTAACCAATTTTATAAATTTGCGTGGCCTAATCAGTGTAGTCTAAGGTATGCACTATGTAAACATAGTATGGGCTCGATGTAACAGTAAATGTGTATTGAATGCATGTATAAAATATTTGCAAAGAGTTATGTACAGTATAATTGAAATGCTTTATTTTTATTTAGCAAAAGACCTTATAAACGGAGGCAAAAGTTAATTCAACTGGCTGATGGTTCTGAGC